TACCACTGAACTAGGCAGCTCATGCTGCCATTGATGCAGTCACTCCTTTCATGAAGCAGCCTCCTACATTGGATTTTTCAACAAAGACATTCCTACTTGAGGACATGAGAGCAGCAATTTAGAACAACAGAGTCACTAATAATATCATGAAGTGGAAAGTTTGTATCACATATGGGTCTGGTCCAAGGACAGAGCTAATTCTACTGTCCTCCTCATATGCAATTAAGGGGGAAGCAACTCCTACCATTACCTTCCTCCTACTGGTTTATTTTGCTGGCTTACCTTCAGGCAGATGCAAAAGAATGAATGTAAGTGTTTGATCATGGTATTGTAGGAAATAAATAAGACAGTTTTATTACAAGCAGGAGTTTCCAGGCTGTCTCGTGCCGGGGCACTTGGGAGCCATTTCTTTAAAGGACGGGGGAACTATTTCGTGGTCAGGGACTAGTGGACTGCTTGTGGTTCTGCTTGAAGTTGTTTATTGCTGCTACCTACTTGCTGCTGCATACAGCTCTGCTTGGGGTTGCCTATTGCTGTGCTTATAGTTCTGCCTGCTTACTGATACTTACTGTTACTTATTGTTCTGTTTGCTTACTGTTACAGTGCAAAGGCGCAGGTCTTCGCACCACAAATTGCCTGAGCCAATACCTAGTAAAGCCGGAACTTGACAATCATCTAAACAAACAGTGGCAAACTTTCGCAAAAGCGTGATTAAAAGTTAATTTCAATTCTTTTGAACTGTCCTGCTTCAGCCAGCACTGAAATGATAGTGGGGAGAGGAAGCAGTCGTTAAAACAGTTAGGCCAGAATTTCCGTCTTAGAGGGCTGGTCCCACCCAGTGCTGAGCACCTTCTGAATTAATTTCTCCTCTTACTGATACTCAGCTGGTTTCGATAAACAAAACACTCTTACTGGTTACAGTTCTGGGAACTCCAACTGCTCTCAGATTTGTTTTGAATACTAATATAAAAACTCAATTCTGATGTCACATGCCACCTGTGCTGATGCTGAGAGATGCTTTGGATGTCGTTAGCATGAAACAGTGGGAAGTGTTAGCTAAGTGAAAATGAGATATGAGTGGGCAATCTCATGTTAGCAAGATAGATCAATGTCAGGCTGCAAAGAATGATTTAGAGAAAACAGAAAAATGAGCAAAAGAGTAAATATAATGGCCTGCCCCACATTCTAGTTTGTGCCATATTTGAACCCGCATTGGCATCAGTACCTTACGCTGCTGACATACACACTGGAGGATGCTGTGAGCAAAATAAATTGCAATCTTCTCCAAGACAAAAGGATTTCAAAAGCCATGGATAGTTGGGTAAACAAAATACAACATGCAAACAATCAGTGAGAAGTGGGGTAGGACCCAGTAGCAACTGCACACTCAGAGAGAGCAAGTGCTCATGACACAAGCTGTTGGCTTGGAACATGGACATGGGCTGTTTGGGTCTGAATGCTACCAAGTCCAAACCCAGAAGTCTCTTCAATCAAAGCAGAAGGAGATATCTTGACATGTGCCAAGATGAAGCAGAGCTCCTAATGAACTCCACTGAAGGGACAGTTGGACAAAAGTTCCTGTGAATGGGTATATGTCTCCTTTTGCATTTGTTATTTGCATGTTGAACTTACCCTGCAGTGACACTCTGCTTGTGGTCTGTGTGGATCTGGATATTTTATGAAGTTCCAACACCTGACCTTTCCTTTGGAGGCCAGCTGAAAATTTTGTGAGGAATCAGTTGGTTACAGATTCTGTGTTCCCTGGTCCTTGCTTAATACTGGCATGCCTCCTGCTTTGTGCATCTGTGCTATTTGCAAGCACTCAGTTCCACCCAATCTCTCCTCTGTGTAAGTGAGAAAGAAAATGAGGCTTTCAGCATTTACTTCTAACTCTTCCCTAGCCGCATTTCTCTATATTCCCAAGGCAAATCCTGCACAGGAGCAATAGAGACCGACCTGTTCTTCAACAATTACTGCTAGTTCTAGGGATGCTCTCTCTCTCTCCAAAGTCTTGAAAGCATTCAGGCCATGAGTTAGTTTAGGGCAATTTCACTGGAGAAAGAGAAGTAGACTTGGAAAACTTAAGGTTAAATTTCACTAGCTAATACTTTATTAGGCTTTCCATGGTTCTAATCTGTTTTGTATGAGATATGAGCAATTTACCCACAGAGAAGCTGCTTCGTTTGTTTCAGCAATCATTATTTAGGTACCTGTGTTGAAGTAGGTAACGTTTAAAGAAGACTTTAAAATGGTCTGTGAAACATACACATAGAAACCAGACAGGTCCTGAAGGTCCCGCTGAAAGCTTTGTTAGTTTTTCTAGGAGACAGTATTTACTATAAGAGATGTTAGTGTGAAACCAGAAACAAGCATGTAACAGGTTACGTTTAAAAAACAGAAGACACAAAGTTTCTGTAAGATGAACAATTAATGAGCAACCAGTTAAGCTAGAGAGGCACACATTTTGCAATCTGTGATGTTTGAAAACTAGGCAACAGCCACAATTGAGCATCGTATATCCTGGTAAGCTGTTTACCAGGTCAAGATGCAATTTTCCAGTAGGTTCAAGCTAGCACTTCTCACGTTATGATACAGGAGCAGTGCTAATAGCATGGTTGCAAAAAAAAAAAAAAAATTGTCATGGATACACTCAAACTGAAGCGAGGCAATTTTCATCAATGAAGTCCTCTGCCTGTCACTGTCTCATTCTTGTTAAACCAGATACATCCTGAGTCTGAGAATGACCATGGGTCTCTGCTAGAATGTTTACTTGGTTTTAGTAATGCAGTACATTGAATTTGTATCTTCTTGCTCTCTATCACACCTGCAGTTCTTCCTACAATACCCTTCTTAAGACTGTTTAGAAAGACAACTAAGCCCACTTTTATTTGGCCCTATCTTTATATAGTTAAACACTTACCTATGCTTTTCTTGCCAATTACTATCTCTGTTGTATAGTCTGCTGGATAAATAACTCCCAACACATTTCAGAGTATAAAATGTATGCTGAACTTTGCAAAAAACCCCTAAACACTACCACTGTTTTACTGACTTTATATACAAATTCTACATGAGACACCTTCAGGTATCATGCCTATGTTGACAGAGCAAGTATCAGAGAAGATGCTGGAAGGCATCTTCAAAGACCATATAGCCCAGTCCTTCTACCACAGGCAGGCACACCTTCCACTAGACCAGGTTGATCAAAGCTCTGTCCCACCTGATTTTGAACACTTGCAAAGATATTTACAACTTCTCTGAGCAGCCTGTTCCAGAGTCACACCACCTCCATCGTGAAAAAATTATTACATCCAATATAAGTATACCCCCCTTCAGTTTAAAACTGTTGCCCCTTGTCCTGTCACTACAGGATGTGGTGAAATATCTCCTTCCATCTTTCTTATAAGCTCCCTTTAAGTTCTGAAAGGTCACTGTAAGGTCTCCCCAAAGCCTTCTCCTCTCCAGGCTGAACAACCCCAACACTCTCAGCCTGTCCTCATAAGAGAGGTGCTCCAGCCCTCTGATTATCTTAGTGGCCCTCACTGGACTTGCTCCAACAGCTTTCTTATAGTGAGGACACCAGTGTCTGCAGCACTCCAGCTGGGAGTGCTCACCAGAGGGGAGTAGAGGGGCAGAATCACCTCCCTTGGCCTGCTGGCCATGCTGCTTTTGATGCAGCCCAGGATGCAGTTGGACTTCTGGGCTGTGAGTGCACATTGCTGGCCCATGTTCAATTTTTTCATCCACCAGCACCCCCAAGTCCATCTCCACAGGGCTAGTCTTAATCCCCTTTGCCCCATCTCAAATGCAGCACCTTCCACTTGGCCTTGTTGACCTTCATGAAACTTGCACTGGGGCCCAGTCCTCAAGCCCGTCAAGGTCCCTCTGGATGGCATCCCTTCCCTATGGTGAATCAATTGCATCACTCAGCTTGGTGTCTTCTACACACTCAATCCCACTATTTTATTTCACTGATGAAGATACTACACAGTATTGGTCCCACACCTTTGAGGGACATCACTCGTTACTGGTTTCCACTTGGACATGGAGCTATTGACTGTAACTCTTTGGACACAGTCATCCTTACCTAGTGTTGTTATCTAGCCTTGCATAGGAAGAATTTATAACAGAAATGTGTAACAAAACTCACTACCTATGGACCTGCTCTGTGCCACTGTCCAGTGACAGTAAGTACCCAATATAAAAAAAAAAAAAGACACAACAATTATCTTTATATGTCACTACCAAATGTAAAAAGAGAAACCCAAGGAGGACTGAAAATGGACACCCATAAACAACTTTCTCTTGGAACAATCAAATATGAACTTCCTGGCTCCAATTTATTTCACTGCAAGTGCCTAGGGGACAAAGATAAAAATGGAAATCATTTTTAAGACCAGACACCTGGTTTGGCTTAGTGAAAGGCAGTGATATGTATGTTCAAGCTCTGTCTCCTGTAACCCAAGTTCTTAAAAACACCAGGGAACACAGAAAATTGGTTAAGCCACTGTTGCCAGTATCTGAAGAGCACTTGTACTGGTTTTGCTAGGCAAAGTATGTCCAAATCTAAAGGCTTTCACAGCAGGAGACTGGGTGTCTAACAGAACAGGACTATCAAGGTAAAATGCTTATGTACCTTCTTTCTTCTATTTTCCTTTGGATTAGTTTGGGGTTTTTTTACATTACCGTGAGAATCCTTACCTTTCACGTTTCTGATATCTTCCTTGCTTGCCTTGCATTCTAATCCACTTCTGTCTCATCAATCCCTGTTGTTCAGGAACTCAGAACCTAAAGTTCTGAGCAGCACAGTGTTTCTAAAAAGTGGTCTTTCTAAAAGCAGTGCTTATAAGGTATCACCACCAACCTGTTCCATGAATGGCAAAAGTCATTGTGAGATAAACAAAATTCACGGACTAATGACTAGAAGTAAATAAACAAACCCCAATTTGCACACAGCTTGGAGAAGCATTTAATTTATTTACTAGACAAGAAGCAGCAGGTTATTTTATTAAAGTAAAATTATATTTAAAAATTTGAAATGCATACATTCAAAGCACTGGAGCACATTAATCACTTAATACAGGAACTAAATTTGGAGTTGTTCAGTGAAGCAGAAAATGGCCAGCATAGTGGGACACTGGCACCAAAGTACTTTTATGTACAGTTCTGTAAGTCACATAAGTACATCTTTAGGCACAAATCTGGCTTAGGCATCACCTCAATTTTTTCAACGAGAACATTAATTAATTACACAACTGCTGCTGTGACAGAACCACCACAATTATTAAATCATATCTTCTAGCACACAAACAAATACACTTCTTTAAAAAGAAAAACAGAATTAAAAATAAGGATAATGTATAAAAATAGCATAATTTTTATTTGATATGGTTTGCTCAGTTTTTCTGCTATGTTTCAGAAGTGAATTATAATCACTTGCTGTATTTAAGGAAAAGATGGGAGGTAGAAACAGCAACACAAATAGCCTATCTGTGAATCTGCTTTATTTTTTTACCTTATTTTATGAAACTGCAACAAGAGTATTACCTAGACTTTAATTTCTACCATCAATTAAAAGGTACCACTGAATAGAATACATACTGACTTTTGTTCTTCAACCACTGTCTGATCCAGCTTGACAGTAAAGCTATTTCTAGTTGAAGACATCATCATGGCTAGGCTTCGCGAATGAAGATTTAGGAAGGCTCTATCCACGTTTGTTACAAGAGTTGAAAACATACTCAATAGCTAATTTTAACCATCTTATACATTATCAAACTGATAAAGATTTTAACAGTGGCCTTACATATTATCACTGGTTAACATCTAGTCCGTTCTTTTATGCTCGTAACAATTTTTGGAGATATTATAACCTCTGGAAGTTCACAAGTGATCCATTCTTCCTTGTAAGCACTCCAAGATTCATCCACGTTGTTACTGCTTTGGCAGGATGACCGAACACTGCACTGTTGTCTGAAATACAAAGTCACAGTAGATGAATGCTGCTTCTGCCAGTGCAGGGGGAATTACTTTTCAATGTAAAAGTAGACTACATAGCTTCCATTTGGATTACAAATAGGTGTAACTCCTTACCTGTGCATAGTTATCTCCAACTTCTTCTAAACCACAGAATTTAAAAGAATTACAAGATGGGCATACCCACACATGGAGCTGTCACTACAACTTTTGAAAACCTATGTGACACGCTGATTGGTATTGAGAAAAACAACCATATTGCAGAAACACTAAATTATGGACTTTGGGCTCACACGATACAAATGAAAAATTGTGCAGCTTGCTTTTCTTCACTTCTATGTGATTTTTCATCAGTTTGAAAGTACAGCCATTCAGAAAAGAAATCTTTCTCTAAAGGTGCACTCACTGGGAGTGAATGCAATCAATACTCATGTTATGTAGGGAGAGGCAACTTTGTCATTAGCCACATTCAATGGCAGGACCTGAGAAACACTTCAATCTCAGCTTTTGTGAGAGGTCCTTAGCCTGCAAGTACCACTGCATGTGCAGACCAGTGCAACTACAGCTGAAGTAAAGCCTTGAGGAATTTTTCCCCTCTGCCTTATTCACCTGAGCCAGTTTACTCTGGTCACACAAGTACCATATTTACAAGATTACAGTTCTACATGACTGCCTTAGGAACATCAGTTTCAGCTTGTGACAGAGCAGAAAAAATGACTGAAAAATATTAAGCTTTATGCCCTTCAACCTACCAAACATAAATGCCCAAGTGAGTCAATGATGAAGTATGTCAAAACACATACATACGGTACCTACAGATACCTTACCCTATCTAAACTATTCCACAGTATTGACTTATCACAACTCTCAAAATACAGCATTATGCCTTGTATCAAAGGTCTGCCAAATACCATTTCACAAAGGCTAGTACAGAAGTTCAAAAAAAGGCAGGTAGCATCAGCAGGTTTCCTCACAGAGACAAGAAATTTACCTGAGAAGCACTCACAAAAGCTCTGACACCTTACCACAAGCTGATTTGCTTGCAACCACACTGTAAGAAAAATCAGTTTCCACAGGACATCCCTTTTATCGTTGTAATTCAGATTCTCTTCTGATCCTTATGGTGTTGAATGTTGTTGTAAGAAAGGTACAGAGCTCAATTCCCAGTTATTATGAGCTAAAATTCTTTTCAACAGGACAATTTTTTCCTCTCTAACCAATACCTTTCCTAGCAAAGACAAAAAGGAATCTACTATATCAGTTCCCATTTGAAATTGTCTGCTGTCACCAAAATTCATTTACTGTCTTCAGCAATGACACCCTGTTTTACATGATAAGCTTTTGGTATCAATGCAGTGGGTTAAGTTCTTGCTGCCTTTGGCATCTCTTCCAAGTGTCATCTATAGACAAACTTTGGTTTTACTGAAAGAATTCCTAACATGCCTGCTCTTGCTTTTCTATTCCTTCTTTGTAGCTTGTCCCTGCTTCCAACCCTTGGATGTTGCGTTTTCACACAGAGCTCTGTTTCCTGTTCAGTCAATTCAGTTTCCTGACCGGTCTTTCTTTGGATCAGTCCTGTACTTGGAGAATGCCGCCCTTAAGGACCTGCCTAATTTCTGGAGCTCCTTGTCTCTTCAGAGCTGCCTTCCATGAGACGATACCTACAACTTCATTGGTTAAAACCAAGTACGCTTAACTGAACTCCAGCACCTGTACTCTGCTAACTGCCTTTCTTGCTCCCCATAGGATGTCCAACGCCACTATTTCATGAGCATTACAGCAACAACTGCCAGTAATTATCACCTCACTACACAACTCTTCTCTGTGAGCAGCATATCAAGCTGTATATCACCCATGACTGAAACATCCGATCCAGAAATTTCCCTGATACCAGCCAGAAATCACTTGGACCACTGTGATCACCAGCATGATCTGTGTTTCTTCATCCATGACATAAATATCATGTGGTAGTACCCTGTTCTGAAAGAGTAAGGGCTTTAACCTGAGACTGGAGAATGACCTCTTTACAGCAAGAGCCAGGAAATATTGGTCTAAAGACATCTTAAGCAGTAAGAAAATTAGTAACTTTCAAATTATGCCTAAACTCAGTGGCATATCACAGATGAAAAGACACATGAAAGAGAAGGGACCTTTAGTAGAAAAACAGTCCTTGGAGATTTTGCTTCAATACTGCAGTCTTTCCTAAAGACTACTGTGAGATTCAGAGGTCACACCAATGCATGTGTGTACAGGTGGGATGCATACCTCCACGTAAGGAGAGAGAGAAAAGCAGGTGGGCAAAGAGACTGGCAGCATAATTTCTCCTGCCTGGTGAAGTTCCTTCAGTCATAGCAGCCAGATTAGAGAGCTCGGAAAGGAAAAGCTCTTGTGTCCATGTAGAGCTTTATCATTTTACATGCTTCCCCAACACTAGAAACAGACATTGGCAAATGCCCAGCTGCATACTGGATATAGGCTGTCAGTGACAGTAGTGTACCAGCTGCAGTCTTATTCAGCTTGTCCCTTGTCTGTGTTCCTTAACACATTACCACAGGACATGCAAGACGTGCTGACTTCAAGCTCTAGGAAAAGGTACCTCTGGAACAGATCAGTTAAAAAAACCTCACCATGTGACCTTCAAAACTCCCAGTGTAAAATATACAGAAGTACACTACAAGGAAATAGTTTTTTAAACTCTTTATGGTTCACCTACACATTTGTACAGAACCACATATGTATATTTCTCTCTTTGCTGCATTGCAAAATTGTCTCTCTAATTCATTAACCCAGAAGCCTAGGATCGATCCTTCATCTACTTTACCATCATTTCATTCCCCAAAAAGGAAGATTTTTAGCCTTTTCTGATTTTCCTACATAAAATCAGAATAAGCCTCCAAAGCCTTTGGAGCTTTAGAATTTTGTCACTTTTCCAGACTACTTGGTTGTGTTAAATCATAAATAGTCGTGACTCCTACTCTCTTGACAGAAATTTCAATCCCCACTGCCAATACCTACTTTCTGTTTCCAGTTCTTCAAATGCCTTCAGATCAACTCCCTTTCTCAGTATACTATCACTCAAACCAAGCCACTATCTGCAAAGAGCAAAAAAACCATAAGAATTGTCAATCTCAAGTGAAACTACCTCATTATTCATCATTGATAATGAGGCAGCACTAGATGTTTAAGAGAAAAAGGGTTTAAGAAGCTACATTAGGATGGAGTGACCCTTCCTCTGGTGCTTCATATTTTCTTCCCTTGGCAAATAGTACTTCAGGGACTGAGCTGGAAGAAACACTTTACAATGAACTGAAAGAAGGGCTGGTGTTCATTAAAGGGGAATCCCGCACACGTAGTGACAGCTCTCTTTCACTTCTGATGAAGATTCAAGACAATCATGCAAAGGAATGCAAGAGGACACTACTCACTGAAGTACATCTGCCAGAAATGGAGGCAGATCCCTCAGTACTTTCACAGCGTTATATAATTGGGAACCATTTCCTTGCATGTCAGTATGAAAAAGTAGTTAAGGAATACCTAGCATATGTTTTAGAGTATTTGTTCAAACTCTGAGTTTTATTGTATAGCTAGGCATCTCTATAAAAGACAGCAGCCCCATCCTCTGAAAATGTTTTCTGTGGATTAGAGAGGAGAAGGAATACTGATTCTGTTGCCTCCCTTATCCATACATGACACAACTTTCTAAAGAATGCAGAGAGGAAAGGGAAAAAGTCAGTCACCTCTCCCAAATATATAGAGAGGGGACATTAATATAACTGGTTCAGATAACGAGGTGAGGAAGAATCATAATTCAGTCAATCCCAATAAAAAGTAGGTTTTTCAGTGAAGAATCAACAAAAGACTAATTTCAAGGATTTGGGCTGGACTTCCATGAACCTGACCTGGTCATGTATGCTCAAAAGTGTCTGAGGTGAATTTTGCTTCATATGTCTTTCCTTTAGGACACTGACTAAACTAGAGATGAGAGTCAGTGACAAGAGAACCATACTGTAAACAAACCCCAAAATTTGATTCCTATCAGAAATCATGGAAGATTTTTACAGCACATGCAGTTCTGCTGACTATTGAATTTCAGGGACACACTTTCAGGTATGTGAAGACATGACTTATGCCTGTGTTCATCTTTCTTACCCATTCAAATTTCAGTCAACACAGTGATTTTTGGAAAAAAGGAAGAAAGAACCTAACAGAGGTTATCAGACTGGATTCTCTCAGAAGTTTCCTCAATAGGCTTCCTCCTTTTCAGACAGCTGCTGCTTCCACCAAGAGAGATCCTTGTGGCCCACTTTTGTCTACTCTCTTTCACATTCCAATTATCTTTCCCCACCTCCCACACCACCTCAATATAATCCTCAGTTATGCTCACACTATAAGCTCTTGTACTCTTGGAAGTAGCTATTCATCAAAAAACGCTTGTTGAGAAGTTGGATAGACATCCAAACCATTTAAACATTGTTTTTTCCCTCTTTGCTACAGCCACAAATGAATCTCAAGCATGCTTGTGAAACAGAGGAAATACACAATACGTAAGTAAACCTTGCCTAAGAAAAATTCTGCCTAAAAATTCCCTTGCCAATATGTTTTGAAATGTTTTTCTTTGTAGTTTTTTTTTTTTTTCCACACACTGTGGATTTGAAACCTGTGGGAGAACACACTTCCAAATAATTTCAAACTGGTTATTACCCATACCTTGTAACAGACTCTTCTTCTACATATTAAAGTGAGCACAATGCTTTTGGTTTGGTTCAGTCTTTTCCACTGGACTCTCCACCATGCTAAGATCAGGTTTTTCATTTGGATACTCACATATATCTGTATCTTACTTGTGCTATGAAGGATAACACTTCATCAACCATATATAGCTAACCATTTTTTTTAACCTTTTGTAAAACTTCTTGTAAAACCGAAGCTAGGTCTTTGCAAAAAAGCTTGCAACAATCTTGTAAAATGTTTGCCCATCTTGGAGGGATTTGGTTTCTTGAAGCATCTACTCTGAAACATTGTGATTTAAGCAGAAACACTCTATACCATACACGTGTGTTATGTATTTACACACATACACTGTTTCTTGTACTCATCAGCCTCACCAGTGTACTTACTTTCAGGGTGTGCAGGGTGTTGGTCCATTCCATCGAACCTATCTGAGGTATAGCAGTAAGGAGTATGCTAGTAGCCTTATTTGCATTTCCTTTCAGCGTCTTTAAAACTTTATCCACTGAAACCTAGAAATACAATAAAACTGAATGACGTCTCTCAATTTTGATGGCACACGTTTTTAACAACCAAATAAATTTAACTCATAAGTATAAAGGTGAAGCCTTACAATGTCTTTTGAGACAGTAAGAACACCTTTCCTCTGTGTGTATGGTGTATATTTGTGTATTGTACACAAACAGGAGAACTAAAGCATATGTGCTGTTTTGCACAGAGCTGCAAAAGAAAAAACACCAGATCAAATACAAGACAGAGCTCATGAGCTTCATACTCAAAGACCACCTGATTCAGACAAGAGGAAAAAAAATGTTTGCTAATATTGAGGGAAGTTTGTGAAAACAAGAGAGCAACGACTGACTCTGTTCTTACTTTCACAATCATACATCACAAATACCTCAGGGATACTGATGTAGGCAAGAACAGATTTAGTTCAATATGTCATCTCTTACCAAAACCACATTCTCATTCAAATCCCTGATGACAAGACCAGAGGAAAGAAGTTTCACTCACTGCTTCTTCGTGTTCCTTCCAGCAGTCATAATCTGTTGCCATGGCAATACTAGCATAACTCATTCCAGCTTCCTTCGCAAGAATCACTTCAGGCACTGTGGTCATGTTGATAACATCAGCTCCCCAGCTGCGAAACATACAGCTTTCTGCTCGAGAACTGAAACGTGGGCCTTCGATTGTGACCACTGTTCCCTTGGAATGACACTGGAGCCCCAGCTTCTTGGCAGTCTCAATAAGAACCTGCAAAACATGCCAACATCGTGAAAAGGAAATAATTCCCTTCCTGCAGTGCTTTTGCATCCCCTCAAAAAGCTTATATACAAAAGAAGTTAGCTTTATGCAAAGCAGTCAAACTTCATATGGTTACAGCTGTCCAAAACCAAGGATCAGTTTAGTTTTCCCCATCCAACAAGAAAAATTACCAGTCCGACCAACAGGAACGAACTTGAACTCATTTGATTTTGTTGGTATCAGCTGGATTACTGCTTTCAGTGCAGACTAAGACTGGAAAACAGGATTTTTTTGCATATTTAGACTGTGCTTACACTGCAAACAGAATGGTAGAAGTGGTCCACTGAGCACTACATTATCACATGGTGGAGTTGAGCTAGTGAGAACAGTAACAGGAAATTTATGTTTTGAAGAGTTGTGGTCAATGGGTCATTGTGCACATGGAGACCAGTGATGAGTTGTGTCCCTCAGGGGTCGGTACTGGAGCTGATACAGGTCAACATCTTTGTCAGTGACACAGATAGTGGGATCGAGGGCACCCTCAGCAAGTTCACTGACACACCAAGCTGTGTGGTGCAGCTGACAAGGCGGAGGGAAGGGATGCCATCCAGAGGGACTTTGCCCACTTGAGAGGTGGGCAGATGTAAACCTGAAGTTCAACAAGACTGAGTGCAAGGTGCTGCACCTGCGTTCGGGCAGACCCAGACACAGCTACAGACTGGACAGAGAAGTGACTGAGAGCAGCCCTGTGAGAAGGACTTGGGGGTGATGGCTGATGAAAAACTCAACACGACCCAGAGATGTGCACTGGCAGCCCAGAAAGCCAATGGAATCCTGAGCTGCATCAAAAAGAACGTGGCCAGCAGGTCGAGGCAGACAATTCTACCCCTCTACTCAGCTCTTGTGAGACTCCACCTGCAGTACTGCAAACAGTTCTGGGTGTCCCCAAGACAAGAAGGACATGGAACTGTTGGAGCAAGTCCAGAGAAGTGCCACAAAGTTGATAAGAGGACTGGAGCACCTCCTCTATGAAGACAGGCTGAGAAAGTTGACGCTGTTCAGCCTGGAGAAGGCTGCATGGAGACCTCACAGCAACCTTCCAGTATCTGAAGGGGCCTACAGGGAAGCCAGAGAGGGACCCTTTGTCAGGAACTGTAGTGACAGAAAAAGGAGTAATGGGTACAATTTGAAAGAGGGGAAATTCAGGTTACATGTTAAGAAGAAACCTTTCACTATGAGGGTGGTGAGACACTGAACAGGTTACCCAGGGAGGTTGTGGATGTCCCAACCCTGGCAGTATTCAAGGCCAGGTTGGAAAAGGCCTTGAGCAACCTGGTCTAGTGGGCGGTGTCCCTGGCCATGGGAGGGGAGATGGAACTAGATGATGTTTAAGGTGCATTCCAACCTCTTAACATTCTATGATTAATTCTGTGCTGTAAGTTAATCTAATATTAATCACACCTAATATTTTGGTTCATTGCTGATGTTAATTCTGAATCTATGTTTAACTGAATGCCAATTATTACATATTGTTAATAAATCAATAGACAACTTGAATTGTGACTTGACTTAAACCACAGTTGAGCAGTACTTTCCCAAAATACTTTACAAAGTTCCAGTTTTACTGCCTATAAGGTGTTGCATTGAGCCTCAGTTTCTGAAAGCACTAATAACCAAGGCACTCTGTGGTATTCAAAACTTTACAATTGGAGGAAAAGATAAACTCAGTTCAGATGCTTATTTAATTTACAGTGCATAAACCAACTAAACCAGAGTATTTTAATGAATTTGCAAAAATGCAATATAATATAAAGTTTTCAGATGTTTTGAAGTAAAATTCCTTAGACTCTTACATTCAGAGTTCGGACTTCATTATTATTGCATTTATCTATGAAATTCCTCTGCATTGGGCTGAAATTATTCCAACTATTTTCAGGGATAGTTTCATGGAAAAAGTTTAAGTCACTTTCGTCTGGTATTTCAAATGAAGTAAAAATATTTCTTCTCAGCCTCACAAACAGTTCAAAACCACACGTCCTTTAAAACATCTGTTAGACTGATTAGAATGCACAGGCTAATGAGATTATGATCACATGTGAGACTGGGAAGTACCTAAATGTTTTATCTCTGTTTGAAAAGGTGCATTTCTCTGCTGGCTTTTCAAAAACTGTAATACCTAAATAACATCATCTCTAGCTAGTTAACAGCTGAAAGACAACTAGTTTAGGTGTATGTCTCCTGCAAGCCCAGGAAATGCCTTATGCATGAGTACTTACTTTTTTTTTAAAGTGAGAGACAGTGTGAAGTGCTGCCAATCACTTCAGAAATAACACTGTTTTCAATCAATTTCTTAATAAACTCCTTGTATCTGTTGTGACATGACACCATGCTCACAGTTAGACAGCAACTCTATGCCAACAAACCTTTGGTAAGACCATGTAACTAGATTCCTTTTTGCAAGAAAAATGCAAAGTGTATAATTTGCAGCTCAAGAGAAGAAGGTCAAACGCATGCATATGTTTAATATGCAGTGGTTTGTTTCCTCATGAGACTTGAAATACCTTTAGTTCATTGTAAAACATCTCAATTCCCAGTGTGGACTTGCCGGTGGCTATTTCTAAACCACAGTGTGGTCAATTAACAAAAATAGCCCATAAGGACATTGAAGTGAATTGGTGACAAAAGCAGAATAGATCAGTAGTACAGACGTTTGTATGTTCTCTGGGTATAGATTGTGCCACCTGCTTCACAACTGAGCTCTGTCTTGCTTGCAGACAGCAAGTCTGTTAGATTGATATGACTGATTTTGTAAGTATCCTGTTCCCCTGAAGAACATACCTCCTTGCAGCTTCTGATCAGAGCATTCAACAATAGCACAAAATATAAAGTTCAACCTTCACCTTCCTTTTTCCTCAACTCTAAGAATACACTAAGGTGACATATTTAATTACAGATACAGCCCTCCCAGAAGCTTATAAAGGGGCTGAAAAACAGAGAAGTGTTTCACACTCCCAAGTCTAAGTGGTTATGAACCCTGAAAATCCTGAAGTGACAAAACTGAAAGCAAAAGTTAAGAATAAAAGGCTACTGCAATTTGGCTTGTTTTCACGTTTAACATCCTAAGCCTTCACTCTCCACCATCACCCAGCTCTACAATGCACAAACCTACAAATACTATACTGTAATTCCTGCAAATGCTAAAGTACTATTTATTTAAATATTTCTGTTAAGTATGTGGAGTGCCTCTACCATAGGTGCAGCTTTATTTAGAACAAAATGGAACCAATTCCTAATCCTAACTGCTTTGTTTACTTCATTGCTCTCTTGGCTGGTTACCTGATAAATAAAGATCTTTTCTCCATTTATTAAGACTCTGAGGAAATCTAGGTTGCCAACTGACATCTTCTGTATACTTCCCTTAGAAAGACAGATACAAGATCTTTTACTTCCCATGTCTTCCAATGTTACATTTGTCCTTAATACCATGACATATCGGAGAAACAGGACAAAAAGGTGCATATTGTGACTATATTCTAAGAACACACAATTAGAATAACATATCACAAAAAAGTGCCATAAAAATAACATTTCTAAATACTACTACAAAATTCACTAACCTCTCTGGTTTTGGTGCAGAATGGCTCTGCCATCGGAATGTGACATACTCCTGGAAGACTGGAATGTTGCCCATCATATAAAGTACAATGTCTTTTAGTTGTCCTAGAAAAACAGTAACATGCTTAGAGAGAAGAACGGAAATAAAACAAAAGAGAAAGCAAGAAATTTCTACAAATCAAAAATCACAGCATCCCTGGGAGGTGGGTGGAAAAATCAGTATGATCTTAATGACCACCTATAATCCTGTTTTGCCTCTGTTCAAACCCTCAGAATTCAGCTCAAGACTATAAAAGTGTTACTCCAGGAGTGCATTATCAAATAATTATAGAAAATCTTTTGTTAACAGGACGCTGAAATGCTTATTTGTTCCTCAGCATTTCCACAATGTTCCTCAGCTATGTTCACCACATTATGTTGCAATTCTACCCAAAAACAGTCAGCTAATTTAATAGTGAGGCATGTAACCTCCAAAAAAAAGAGCACAGTAAGCTTTCAAGAAGGCAAGAAATAAAGTCTGAATTACCACAAGGCTAGTCAAAGTAGAACTTGTTCATATCATTGCACTCTTACATTGAAAGGATGGGAATTTATAGGAACAGCTTCCTGCATAAAAGAGGTCTGAATTCAACTAGAAAAATTTGGCAACAGGTTGTCTTCTTGTTCTCAGAAAGATTATGCCCATCCAGCACTGGCAGCTTCCCAGTAGGAGAATCCTTTTTCTCTTTTCTTTCAGTTGAGAAATTGTTTCCTTGCATGCAAATGGCCAAACATGCTGCAGAAATTACCATCCAGCATGCCATTTTGGAACACACGGAACTGTTGCCCAATATCACTTTACCTTCAAATGCACCACCTCAAGCTAACCCAGCCAATTGGATGGCACAAACCCTCTGGAACAAAACTCTTTGAGACATTTCCTTCTTCCTTGCAGTGTGTTACATATTGTACTTTACAGGAGAAAATTAAGACAACAGCCAAATTCAACCCACAGTTAAAATACAAAACATCTACTGCTAATACTGTTTACAACAGTCCCCCATACAAGTTAGTAAATATTTTTAAAAAAAGGTTTAAAACACAAGTTATATGCTAAAGTAGGTTTGGGAAAAACAAACAAACCAACAAACCAATAGGACAGCCTTAAAAATGAGATTATAAAATAGCAAAGAGATCAACAAATTAAAAACATATGTAAAATGGGATACACTGTTAAAATCAGTGGAAACACTGATATTGTTTTTTTCTTTACAGGATACTGAAAAGGTGCAAATAGAATGTATCTGATTTTTCACACTTTTCTGTAGTGTCCGTTAATAAACTATTTAGAGTTGGAGGAACCGGTGAAAGCCATAATCCATCTCCTGCATTATGGTATTTCAGACATTGTAAATATTAATATCGGACTTTCAGATACCCTGTTCTTTGAAGAGAATGGACACATCTGTACATGGCCTATAAGGAAACCCTACTATGTTTAGCACCATACATACAAACTGCATGGGAATAAGTAACAGCAGTAAGACCTATAATTGCTCTGAGCAATGGACCACATCTGTTTGCACTTAAGAGTGTGACAATTCCTCCTCTGCGTTGAAGGCTGCAACTCTGCAAAGGCCACAGCTATTTCATATGGGCCAGCTGATGTGTCTGTAAGTTGCTAGGCTATGGTAAGAATAAAGGTGGATTTGATTCTATTTCTGACTCTTGCTATATATGAAATGAGGGCTGGCAGAGAGGAAAGCCTTTTAGCCTCTCATCCTTTGCCCAGCCCTTCTACTCAAGTCAAGGCTTGACCATCTTGATCTGTCCAACTCATCTGTCTGCAAGGTACAGGGCAGCAGCACATAATTTTAACCGCTGGAATACCATTCCCCTGTATCTCTTGCAGAAAAAATGAAGGTCACAGAATCACAGATCCTTTCCTTGCCTTACTCTCACAGAGAGACCAAGAGCCAGAAACAAATGATAGTACTTGCCTCTCATTATAGGTGTTTGAAGACATCCCCATGTACCCTGAGTGACTCCTTATGGAGCCAGCAGGAAAAAAGAAATAAGGAACTCAACAGTCAGTCTTCAAAGACAATCTGCTCCTTACATCTCACAGTTTTAACTATGGAAAAGTTTGCATGCCCTCTGTCAGAAGAAGGGCTACTTAACAACAAAGCACAATTGAATATTATACAACTGCCTGATTACTCACAGTTAAACAGGAATAAGTCACCACGTGCCTGCCTAGAAATTAGCCATGATACTCACAGTAGAAGTGCACAATCCAGAAGGATCAAGCGTAGCACAAAGGGAGAGTACAGAGATACCCCCAGTGGGGGAAATCAGAAGCAGCACCAGAAGACACTGGATTGATAACCTCAAACAAGCTGCTAAGAGATGGTGCTGCATTGCTTCTGCTGGTCATCTGACCTGTGCATAGGGCTCTGCGGAGAATGCCTACTGGAGCCTCATGCTGCCTCTCTGCCAAACAGGCCTGGGAGGAGAAAAGGGAATTCTTTCCCTGGGAAAGGGGCACCTATGTTTTTAAGCACAATTGTTTGAGTACCAAGCTCAAGAAAACACTGGTACTCTTAGTGCAAGCAAACCCTTGCACTGTTACAGTTTTGCCATGTCTTCTTCACCTTTACCGCTTTTAGAAATTCAAAGCTGCACATACTGCAATTTTGAAGATGTTCTCAGTTTCTATTCCCCGGTCTGCAGCAACATTCACACCTTTAAGCAGACAGCAAGGTGGCTTTTGCTCCTTCATTTTGGTTTTGTAACAGTAATCCAGGATTTTCTGGCAATTCTGACTATGATTCTAGAAAGCAAATCCAACTCAAATAAATGAACAAACCAATCATTTCCATCTGTGACAAACAGCCCTCTATCACTTGCATCATCACCCTCCTTCTTCTTCCAGTAGTGTTGAATTATCAAACTATTAGTAATTAAAGAACACAATGTAAACTCCCACCAGCATTGGCAGTATAAAAATTAGTCTCAGTATGCTCTGTGTCTTCAGGGACACTGGAAGAAAACTCTCCCTCAAAAAAATTTAGAGTGTAACAATACCGAATAATTGCAATTGTGTAGGTGACACAGAGAATTGAAACAATAAAATTGGCAGCTGTTACAGAATTTCTTTTACAAAACTATTTTCTGCATCTCCCCAACTGAGTTCAGTCGTTCAAGTTAGTCTTACTCTTCTTTGCTTCGCAAATATCAGCAAATATTAGAATTCAAAAGCCCCTAATCAATCTGATGTAGTCAGTTGACTAACAACGTGGTAATTAACTAAGCGGAGCCAAAGGTATAAAAAAAATTTTCTGTTTTTTTTTCTAAGTACTTGTTACAAAAAGAAAACAACTGCTGAAGTTCATAGTATCACCTGTGGTTATTTTCGGATTTGAAAGTAGGGAGAACACAAAGCACTTTTGTATTTATTTAACAAAAGGGATCTTTTATTGTTTAAATACACGCAATTATAAGCACAAAGAAAGCAGAGGCGGAATATCTAGTGTGCCCATGCTCCTCTTGCACTGTGGAGCCTACGACTGGATACAATACTCCAGATGTGGCTCACCAACGTGGAGCAGAAGGGAAGAAAGATCAACTTCCCTGACTTGCTGGCAACAACCCAACTATTTGCCTCTTTTGAAATACTGGCGGTGCTGGTGATCTTTAAATGTAACTTTATTTTCCCCCCAGCTTCACTTGAATTTTTTTAAACATCAGATTATCACAGAGGGTTAGACTGTCTGGAGTACACAGACTTTGGAAAAAAAGTTTCTTGCTTATGATTCTTAGCAAATAAAAAATGCAAGCACCTATCCTCCTTTTAAAACAACCTCCTCTCTTTTGTTACTGTGTTGCATTTGCGTTTCTTCTGCAAACCTCATCATTACTGCAAATATTTTCCTACTATGCTTTTTTATCCCTCTCGATCTCACTTCAGATTCTTCATAAAATTTGAATGGCCTGTGCTCTTATCCATGTATCTTCCCCACATCTGAGAATAGGAGATTTCTTCTGAAGAACACTCTTCCCATGGAGCTATACTTTAGTTCATTCGTGGCCATTCTTGAAAGCCCGGTACTTCTACGCCTGTTAGAACTGAACTTTTTGTAATCTCATTCCTATTTCCTATCGTATCTTCTGGCATGAATCTCATTCTTTGACAGAAGAACTGAGGCTATCACTTCATTTCACAAAAACTTGAGTTAACACGGACACATTATTACATGGCCTAACCCCACCTGCCGACATTTACCTCCCTGTTACTCACCTGTCTATGAACTGGTCAATTATGACAAGATCACCAGGTTGTATTTCCTCTCGTAAGGAACCACAGGCAGTAGTCACTAATACGTGGGAACAATTTTCTTCTTTCAAAGCCCAGATATTGGCACGGTAGTTGACGTTCGATGGCATAACTGTATGATGCCTTCCATGTCTGCAAAGGTACATGTTGCAAGAGAGCAAAATAAATCAGACTGAAACTGCCTTCCTTCTGCAGGATAAAGAGAATTCCAGGAAACATATTTTCCCTAACAATATTGGAAGCGGAACTGATCATTTCAGCTACTTCCAGTGTGGCTTGTTTTCCTAAACATACTAAGGTCCCCTCAGCATTCAATTTAGAAACAGCGGTGTAATTTTCTTTTTAAACGCAAAAATTTTTAAGTTCAAGACTGTAACGAAAAGAATCTTAAAAATACAATCCAAATATATTTCAGCAGATTCAAGAGTAAAATAAGCATTTTCCTCTGAATTTTCTAAGTCAGTTCCATAGATTCCAAAACTCTTTCCATACACTACAAGAAATTTCTAAGATTTATACACACCTCTAGGAATTTTCTGCCCAGAAGTGCTGCTTGTATTCCCCCACACAGAAGAGAGTAGCACATCACAGAACACTGTGTTCTAACCTGTCATCTTTCCAAAGAAAACAGTAGAATCATCGCATTTTTCTTTTTGCTTTTGCAGTGATCTGACAGCTTTCATAAATTAAAAGAATGACTTCACACTGTTGCAGTATTCTTCTTCTCCAAGACAGGACATACTTAGTCTTGTAAGCACAAGCTTCTGTGCTACCTCTGTCTTTGCTAAAGAAGTATATCACTCATATAATGATTAAACACATTTGAAAATTATTTTCAACCATGTAAGAGAAAAGAAGGAACTTTATTTCCCAACTGATTTTTTCAGAGATCAAAAAGTCCTAAGAATTTGATCATTTGGGAACTGAGAGTTGCACACAACATGACCAAGCACTATCAGGGAGGATTCCCATGTTGTCATTACCATTTCTGATAAGCTATTAGGAATGCAGATTTATTGCTTAATGTTGCAGTTGCTGTCATAATCCTCTTCCAGAATACATGCGCCTTTTTTTAATTTGAAATTTGACATTCAGAAACCAAAACACAAAATGAAGTTTTCAGGTACCTTAGCCCTAACAGTAAACTCACAAAGGTCATATATGAATGGTCATAAATTCCAGTGAGGAGGTAAACCACTATCTGTGGCCCAAGGTCTAGTTTGACACAGCACACCTATGATATCTTGACTTAGCACTTCATTTGAGAAAATGAGAAAAATGTTGGCCAGCTGTAAAAAAAATACATGAGCAAAGTCCACGAAAGATAAGAAAAGTAAAACCACAGACAGAAGTGTAGTTGCAGAGATGGTTACCAGTCAGCAGCTTTAATGGAAAAACACTGGCATGACCAGAATCAGGGCCCTGAGTGCACCGCTGGGTCCTAACTGCCCTGGCCAGTCTCACCCTGGGCTTCCACCCACACTTGAGGTGCTCCTGCCTCCAAGCTCAGACTCCAGCCTTCACTCCTGGCCCAAGCCATGTCACAGGTGTGCCTGTCCCCAGCCCTGTCTCCCAGACTGTACTTTGTCTGCAGTCCGAGGTGGGCTTTGCATACATGCTGTAGCCTTGTCTCCCATTTCCTACAGCTCCTGCCTGAACTCCCTGGATGGATCCTGGAAGATCCCAGAAAACTTTACTTGTCTGGGTCTGCTGCTGTCATTAGCACCTGGCTCTGCCCATGCTGTCCAGATGCTGAGAACTGTGTTAGTATTCTTATGTTTAATCTAGTAGTACATTGGTCCCAGACATCCGTGGTTATATTAGTGAAAAACTGCCATGCATTCATCCACAGATCCTGCTTCCAGAGTCTCTTCTGAGTACAGTAAGAGATGTCTGAATCATTTAGGGAAAACTGCAGGGGATGCAGCCCCCTAAGCAATAACTGTAATGGTCAGAGGACTCAATAATCAAAGGAAATTATTTGGAAGAGTCTACAGTGGTATTAGAGACACAATTCACCTGGAAACAGGCATTTTCTCCATTTCACAAAGGAAATCTGCAAACACAGTGAGCAGATGAATTAATTAGTAAAGTTATCAGCACCACCTACCTACCAACAGAACAGGTGGCCTTGCAGGCTGCCATTCTCACTAGGGCAGAACCTCCCACTGGTTTTCTCTTTCCTAACCTAGATAGTATTTTTAATATTCTCAGTCCCTGCAGCATCAAATTTGCTCAGGAAGCAACAGAGACTTCTGCTTGACTTTGTTGGCAACCACACAGAGCAAGATGAAGTCACAGCAGAAATTCAGTTTACCTAATGTAAACAAAAAAACTGAGAAAATTTTAAGATACATAACATAAAACCCCTTAAAATGCTCATTTACCTTGCTAAGAGCACACAGTCCACATTTTTGATCTTTCCCAAAATCAAAGCATCTGATGGCTGCAAAACAAGCAAATAAGAACGAGTTACAGCCTGACAATCATATTAGAAACCTTTATCACTACTCAAGTATAAGCACAATAGTTATGAAAGGAAGTACTGGCTACCACTGTAGTCTCACATTTTCTTGAGCTCAGCTCTGTAATTTGATATGGCAGATCAGTAAAACAGTCTGGCACAGGAAGATCAAATTTCAGACCAAAAGAATTATCACAGTTTTTCTGCGTTCATACTAACATTAACATTGCAACCCTTTACTTTAGGGTTTGAAACCATAATACTTTCAAACATATCAAAAGAGCATTTCAAACAGTGCTTAATAAAAAAGCAGCATGTACATGTTCCTGTTAGATCGATTAGCATGCCTCACTCTTTCCTGTAAATTTGGGTTGCTTTTTGCTAAACAAGTGCCACTCTCTACTAAAGTCCCCTCCCAATGCAAATCACATTTAATCTGTCTCTTTCCATAACACTCGCCATTCTCTTCTCAGTCTTTCTACCATGGGCCCCTATCTCAAAATAGGGGTGTGCAGAGTTCTGGATTCCTCCAACTCACCCCCAGCTTCCTGAAAAAAAATCACTCTTCCCTGCTGCTGGAAGTCCTGCTTTTGGGAAGTGAACTGTGATATGACAGAGAAATTCTGGTACATCAGTGGCAGAGGCAGTGTTGCATTTGCTCAGCCCTGGGACTTCTCTCACAGCTACACGACAGGAAAATACATTCCTCCTGACTACCAACCAGCCAGGATGACAGAGCATTTTCATTTTAGCTGTCTAGCTGGCACATGTACCCTGCCTTGGAGATGGGACACACTGCCCACACCAGGCAGATCCCAAGTCATCAACCACCATTACAATAAATTAACTGTTCTGTGGGCTGTATTCTCCTCCTGGGTATTAGGGATTTGAAATACAAAATACATCTAGCTTCCCTTTTTGTTAAACAGCTACTAACAAAATTATCATTTATCTACTGATCACAAGTTTGCAAGTGCCTTGAAGGACTCACACATTTACATCCAGAAATGTTCTATTGCAGGCTACTTGATAAAATAGAAACAAAATTATAATGCTAGCTGCAAGATTTCAATCAGAACTTAGTTTTACAGCTGTCAATTCTATCACTCACTAGAAAATTTGCAGAGTTCTAGAATAAAGTGATATGTGAGTCCCATGTAGCTGCATTTTGAAGATATCAATTTCTAATAAAATCATCACCTTCTACTTCCTATTCCACAGATCTTTTTGGCAAATATTATGTGAAAGCTCCACCAACACCTAAATTCTGTCAGACACACATTTACTACTTTTTTTTAAAAGGGAATGTGCCAGAACATTTCTTTTTAGAACTGCAGTGTATTTTCACTTCCTTTTACAAGTCTCCATTTAATATTAAACTATTGATATTTAAACGTTTAATCTTTACTGCACCTTACATATACTCTTCCGAAGCAAATATTCCTTTAGGAGTGAAATTTTAAACAGGGCAAAAGCTTTGCTGTCTAGTTGCTAGCTGTGATGTTACAACATTCCATAACAAGGAAGGTTCACAATAATTAGCAACTGGGGTTTTGTTTACACACATTTGCTGTGTGAAGTAATAAGCACTTAGTTCACAGTAGGATACAAAAGTACTCCTATAAACTAAAGAGGACGTCCAGCAAAAGTCCTCGCCTCCTATCAAAATCAAAAGTAAAGATTAGTAAGTTGAAGACTGAACCCTTTGTTTTAGAAGCGACAGATTTAAATTTATTGCGGGTGGTAGATTTAAGTTTATATCCAAGGAAAACAAAAATCAAGGAATAATTGAGACGAAAAGTATCCAGAGGTTCCCCAAGCCTTCATTTAACCTGTGAGCTAGTTTACAAACCAAATTATGCACCTTGTTTTTGGGAGGCAGACGAGGTGCGTAAGTGTTACATTACATGGTCTGATTTTTCCTAATGTAAGCACACAAAGATCAATTGCAAGGCCAAATTCCCTCTTGCTTTGTTTGCCAGATACGCCTATGACCAGAAAAAGAGGGGGAGCCCCTAGAATAGTTTTCTAGAACAGCAAGATATTTTGCCCAACTGGGAAAAGGAGATTCGGAACCAAGATCTGTCATCCAGAAAGTAAAACAATCTAACTGAAAGTATATTCTGAACAAAGCTTTGTAGTAGCTTCAAAATTCAATCATGAAGATAAAATTGCTTGGAACAGCATCTACTATCCTGTAGGAGAACACTGTTTTCCATATATAGAATCCCCAATGGTGTCAGGGTGTTTTCAATAGAACACCAAATTTTTTATGCACTGAAAGCGGACAAAGGAGAAAGACAGATGGAATATTAAGAGCTGTAAGCTTATTTATTTTTTTAAACTAATGTAGTGCATTTTCATTATCATTAATGTAACTTGAAAGATGATAGGAGGACCAATGTCAACACAGAGAAACACAAAATGTACCATACTAGTTTCCTGTAACCTTTTCCATATTTCACCTGAAAAAAATATCTCCACATTCCTTAATATTAAGTTTTGTTATCAAATGATTCTTATGATTTCAGACAGCCAAGCAGAAGACAATTCAAGGACTCTATATGAACCAAATGTAAGCTATTATTCATCTTCTAAAAGAAAAGAAACAGCATTAAAGACACACAACAAAGGTTTTCAGCCAAAAATCTCTTGGCTATGTTCTTGCCAAGAAACTTAAGAATTAAACTCCAAAATTTATATAAAGTAGAATTGTACAGTTTGCTTTTTTACATAATAGAAGGAAATGGGCATACTTTTTTAACTATGCCTTGCATTTTCCTTTTGACATCCATTCACTTACACTCTTCCTACTTTTGCTTGAACTAAATAGGTTGATATTGCATCTCCCATTTCTCTCAGAAAATAAAGATCAACAAGTTCTGAAGTTTATTTAGATTAAGTCCTTTACTTCTTAAAATTTCAGGCAGATTCTCTCTCCAGTGATGTCACAGCTCTATGACAAAGTATCTTTATGGCAGAAAAATCCCCATTTGGTTTTCTTTCAAGTAACAATCGAGAACAAGACACATCTTCAGAAAAAATAGTAACAAACCACAAACTTCTAAACTTTTCAAAGCACACTCAAAAAAACCTACAATTGCTCTCTTGCAATAGTTGCTCGTCTCAACTCTGTAGTTCTAAAATGAGAGGCAGGTTGTGTAACCCTCCTTCCTGAATACTAAAAAGTCTCAGCAGCAAAATAAGTGAATTTTGATCCACCTAATGATACCAGTTGAATCTGTGAGGTTTGTTTCTGCTTCAGTGGAAGTCCATCAACTTGACCCAGTTCAATGCACTTTATGCGCCTGTAACTTATTCACCAAGCTCTGCACATCTCACACTAAGGCTGATCCATCAGTTGCTCCATGAGGATGCAAACTGCATTGAACCACTGAAGTTGATGTGACCTTATAGAGGAGGGAATCTACATGAAACAAGTATCAGGTCAATGGTCTCATTTTTTAGAAGTTCAGATCTCAGAGAAGGAAGACAGGCCATCAGGGTTAAGGATAAAAGTTTGCTGTTTGGCTGTGTTCTCTTTCACAGTCCATCCAGGTCAGCTTCACAGTCCCAGTTTAACTCACCACACTATCTGGAATTCATGCTTGGATTCTTACCATGACATCTCAGTTATACCCCGACCCCCCTTAGACAGAGAAAAAACTTTAATGAGCTTTTAAGTTGAGCCTATGCAAAGTGCATAATACACAGGCTCAGACAAAGCCAGTCTATCGATTAAGGTTTCTCACAAACCACAAAAGGTGCCAAGATTTATTTTCTCCTATTCATATTGCATTCTGTGAAGAACACAGAAAAAAAGACACCAGCTAATCTGCTTACTAAATGAAACTTAAAAAGCCTTCCCTATAGACTGAAGATACGGGACTGAGGAAGCTTTTTCTACTCCCTTGTGCAGGACCTATCCTGCAAGTACTCCCACTCCTCTCAGTAACAGTAAACCCTGCTGCACTGCAGAATTTGTGTCACCCAAATCCTGTTGCATCTCAGTGCCATGACAGAATAGACCTTCAAATGCTGTGCTGCCAATGTGCCCTTAAATCTGATCTGAACCTGTGAGGGAGAACTTGTTTCATCCTTCCTAGACAGTAAGGGTTCAGTTAACACCTGCTAAAAGCATAGTGTTACTTTTGCTTTGTCAGCAGTCTCCAAACACATCCGTGCTGTGAACATTCATGACTCTCAAAAACCAGGGAATGAACGGCAACTGTTTTGGTTTAGCCAGTGGATTCTCCTTCAGAACAATGCTGGATACATTTGGAAAGTACACTATAGAAAAACACAGAAGGCCAGTTCCCTTCATTCTAATACAGTTTGTTGACTCATTTTGAAAGACGGTAGAAAAGTCAAATGTGTTTTTTCTGATTATTTTTTCCCCTCCCTTAATCTTGATCTCCTTCCCCTTCCTGAATGGTGTGCACACAAACTCCTCTTGCTTTTTACATTCTTACTTCCACCTTAAACCACTTTTGAGGGGGGGTACAGATTCAGATGTTCAATCACACACCATACCACTGAGCTTTCTGGCAAGCTTTTGCTCATAAAATAGTACTTGCTACTGCATACCAGATGTTTTATTGTTATGTATACTAGCTTACACTGCTAGACTTCACAAGATATAATTCCAATGGCAGTCATAAAGCACCCAGACTCCCCATGTCTTATGACATTACAGAATATCTAAGATCCAATTCTTCTATGAACTTCCTGTGTCAACTAGAACCTCTCTCACCCTTGATTTTCCTCATCCTTTGTCTTGCCTGTTTCTAGTATAAATGCTTTGTGACAGGACCTATCCTTCACAACACCGCCAACGCTGTGCACAGAGCAACAGCCTCAGCCTCCACTTCCTTTTACTGAGAGAAGGGACTGAATCAATGTGAAGGAGAATTGTTCAAGAACATCTGTGTCACAAAAACAGTCTCAGAGTTTCATTTTCAAATTATGTGGTTATAAGCACGACCTTACATTAGCATGTAAAGTATAACTCAGTAGTTACAGGGAAAATGGTGGCCCATATACTTCAAACGACAGTTTTCTGCAATTTGGAAAGGTTCCTGGATGGATCTGACAGATAATACAGGTCATATAACAGCATAAACTTGAAAGAGAGGGTTTATCTCGATTGCAAATTCAGGACTGAGTTTGTAAATTCATCAAATCTACAGATGAGAAGAGGTGTAGTCTCCTTTGCACATCATCTTTACAATACTTCATTTCTAGAAATTAAGAATTACACAATACATAGCAAATAAAAAGAACAGTCTTGTGCCAGGACATCCCTTATACATTCATTTAACAGTCTGAAAATTCTTAAACCACACACACATACATCTTGAAGAACGGCAGAAAGTTTCATTAATAAATAAAAAGGTTATACAGACCTTGCCATAAGGAGTGTCAACATATTTTTCTGTTCTTCCTTCTAAGATATCCGGATCATCCAGGCCAGTTCCACCGATAATTCCAATCTTACACAGAAAGTACACATTAGTCTTCTTGCAATTTACATTTAATAGCATGCTGAAAAACTAACCAGGCAGCTACAAAATGTATTTTTTGCTCAAGATGGGACTAGACTACAGAACAACAAAACATAATACGCCCAACACAGCTTCCCAGAATGGAAATTTCAAATAACTGATTTCAAACAATTGTATTTAACTTGCCAATGCCTTACCCTATGATTTTCTCTTTGAAATACCAAATTAAAAAAAAAGCTATGGAAAAGGGCACAAAGATGTGCCAACTCAAAATTTATTTGCAATATAAAAATGAAGAGTGTTATTTGGGAATGCCTCTGATGAGTGCGAAATGCATGCAGAAATCATATTACAACAAAGGCTTCTTGTTTACATGGAGAAAAACAGTCTTACACATAACCACCATACAGAATAGCAGGCTGTCGTGGTTTAACCCCAGCTGGAAATTGAGCAGCTGCTCACTCAAGCTCCTCCTCCCTCCCCCCTTACCCCAGTGGAATGGGGAGGAGAATCAGAGTAAAACTTTTATGTTGAGATAAGAACAGTTTAATAATTGAAAATAAATAAAACACAGTAATAATGGTAAATTATAATAATAATGAAAACGAAAAGGGAAAACCAAGTAATGCACAGCACAACTGCTCACCACTCTGATGCCAGACCCCCCTTTCCGAGCCCAGATTGGATCCCCTTCTGGGTAACTCTCTCAGTTTATACACTGGGCATGATGTTCTATTGTATGGAATACCCCTTTGGTCAGTTTGGATCACCTGTCCTGCCTATGCTCTCTCCCAGTTTCTTTTGTGCACCTCCTCACTGGTAGAGCATGAGACAAGAAAAAAAAATTCCTTAACTCAGGATAAACATGACTTAGCAAAAAACTAAAACATCAGTGTGTAATGAACACTATTCTCACTCTAGATCAAAAACACAGCACTGTACCAGTCACTGAGAAGAAATTAACTCTACTCCAGGACACAGGCATTACTATGTAGCATTGTACATCCAAAATAACGAAAACATTATTGAAAAAAATTTTGACTTGACAAAATCTAAGAAGTTCCCCAACTGAAATCCCCATTGTGTCTTGATACAATTTATAGTGAAAAAGTATGAAGTGACTCACAATTACCACCTATCTGTCATCCTTTGGTAATCACCAATTTCTTGTTCTCACTCATCTGATCTAGTTCTTTTGTAAAAAAGGAGAAAGAAAAAAAAAGGCTAAATTGAAACATATATTCTTATTGAGACTAAATTTGCCTGTGATTTCATACTCCAGCTAAAGAAAAATGCATCTGAATTTTCTTGTTTCTCGTTCATAATCGGAAAGTTACTTGTTTTTGTCACTCTTTAAACAATTCAATTTTCAGTCAAGTCAGATTTTCTCTTAAGTTCAGAACACCTGCAGCTCTTTGGATGGAATGGGTACTGTCAAGCTTTTCACAACTGAAAGCTTAGTAATGGTATTTAAAAATGATGTCACTATCACCACCGAGAAAATGTTCTTTTTTTTTTTCCTTCATTTGTTGTTGCAAAGCTTGTATCACTTTCATATTGAAGAATTCATAACTGATTTGTTTATCATGGTAAAAAAAAATCTGAACCGTTCTGACATAACTTGTTACCACAAAGACTGAAGATTTCCCAAGTAAAACCTCCAGATTTCAACATACAACACCCCCGCTTCCACAACACACACAGAACTGCCTCTTTCTGTAGCTTTTTCTTACTTTCACATTCATAGAGACCCCATTTGTTCAACCACTGTATTAGCTGGCTATCATGCATTTCTTTTCAACAAGCAGACGCTCTGTGGTCTTCAATACACACCCAATACTTCTCTAAGAAAGCTTTCCACACCAGATGCTGTAAACCCTGATACGATGAAGTAGTTTTAACCCATCTCCTACTTCCTTTTGCTACCCCCCTGTGGAGCACGAGGAGCAGTGCAAAGGAAAATAGCAGTAATAACCTACGACTCCAATCCTGAACACACACAAGTATTAGGGAAGACCTAGATCGTTTTTTGCAGTAATATTGATGGTCTGTTCCCACGTTACTCGTGTTGCTTAGTTATCACGAACGTTCAGACTGTTCGACTTCTCATGAAAATCCAAAAAGCTATATACGCTTTAGGATGAATAAAATACAGCCTTAAGAATTGTGGAAGGTGTGCAACAGGAGCAATCATACAACACAAAATCAACAAAAGACCATATTTAACATTGTTCTTGCATGCATTCAGTAAACAGTGATATTGCCACATTAACAGAAGACATTAACAAAACGGTCCTTGTTTTTTTCGCTTGTTTGTTTGGTGGTTGTTATGACTTAAGTATATTCAAAAGGAAATGTTTACCTTTCTGAACTTTTACATCTGGCAAAGTGAAAGTTGTTGGGACTGAGGAAAACAGTGCAATGCTGGAGACATCAGCTACAGATACATGATATAGAAGTTATTTTGGAACTGCAATGCTTTAAGGTCCTTATGAACACACAGATCCATCACTATAATGGACTGTCCCTGTACCAGAAAGCAGCACACCTGACCTGGGGCAGCATAGGCCTGGTGTGGTTGCTTTCAAATCTGCTCTCAGGCTTCCTACTCCTGCTGCTGCAGCTTCATCAATACGTGCTTGTGCTGCACTGTTGAGTTCCTGAGAAGGCTTTAACACCAATGGCCATGCTGTCAGAAATGGCAGCAGTGCAACGAGCTTGCAAAATATTCACAGCTCCCAGGGTGGAGAACACAGAGCACAGAAGAAGAGCTAGACTATGCTGATTTTGCTTCTGCCTTCCTCCCCACTGCAAAACACCTCAGTGGCAGTCTGGTCAGCCCTCAGGCCACCAAAGCAACATTGGCTAGAGAAATGCTGGGATGACTTACAATGTGCTGGAGCGCTATTCCAGCGGAAAGAAAGTTAGGTCAGCAGAGATTTTTGAAGCAGCTGCTTCTTCAACCATGTAATGTCAACTTGGAGCTGGCAGCTCTATCCCTAAATTTAAATTTATCTCTCTGACAATTATTTTTCCGCCAGTATATATAATCTCCAGAAATATTATCTGCATCTGGGAGCTAGGCAATCTGATTCTATATTAAATTCTGCTTTCCAAATTTTCTCGTGAATTACCAAAAGGAATGCAGATGCTCTAGGCTCAGTGGAGGAGATACCTTGTGTCCTGGTTCGGGCCAGGACAGGATTAATTTCTGCAGTAGTCAGGAGGGAGTATGGCCAGGACACAGAGGTTATTCTATACTACCTCACATCCTTTTCTGGGAACGGAGGATGGGGACCCTTCCCGGGGAGGATGGGGACCCTTCCTGGTCGGGGTAGTGTGAAGGTGCAGTGGTGAGTATTTGCATATGAATCTCTCGCCTCTCTGGTACACTGTCCTTACTAATATTGTTGCTGTTAATGTTTGTTTTCTTACTGCTGTTTCCAGTAAATTGTTCTTATCTCAACCCGTGATCTTTACCTTTTGTGCCTCCAATTCTCCTCTCCATCCTATCACAGAGGAGGAAGAGGGGTGAGTGGGTTTGGAGTGCTTTCAATGGGAACACTAAATTGAAGAATATCATCCCTAAACCACGACATCCTGTCAAGGGAGCTGAGTTCTATCCCCACCTACGAGCCCAGGCACGGAAGGTATGGAATGGTAGCGAGCACTTCACCCGGGGAGAACCGTCTCACCTTTCCTCAAAAGCCAGAGACAGTCACATCTAGGAGTGACCTCAAGAATGGAAAGATTGTATGCTCCATTCCAGACACTGATTGCATCCTACAAAGGGATACAAAGGACATAACTTGTAAAAACTAATGGAGGCTGTATCTAAGGATATCTGGAATTAAATCTAAAGTAAAATGGTATTGCAGTAGAGTGAAACATGAATTATTTTAATATTGCCCATCTCAAACATTGGGATGAAGAGCAGCAAAAGTGAAACCTAACAAAAAGTTATCACACCAGTAACTAAAAAATCAAAAGCATTTCTCTGTGGAAGTCCAAGCAACAATTACATTGAACCATATGCCATTTTTCACCTGGTGTTTGGTGAAATTCCTCAAGTAGGTTTAAGCACAGGCATGGAAATATCAGTGCAGTAACAGATTACACTTCTCCATCTGAGGGTCCTAAACATTGTCATGATCACCTACGAGTCTCTGTGACAACTAATGACCAACAAGTCCCTCTGTATTCCTCTCTTCTGTTTTGGGGATATGGAGGGGAGGGAGAGGATGGCATTACAAAGACTTTTACTTAAAGAAGATCATCAAACTGCATTAAGAGAATAAACCTGTAAACTGAACACAGCTTGTAACTGTTCTCTACACACCGAAACAATCGGGCGGGTTACTTCACCTGAGAAAAAGAATTTGTAGTTTATTAAAACGCAGTCCCGGGGTTTCAGCCTGCCCACAGGCCTGCTCAGCGCTGGTACCACCGCCGCTCTGAGCCGCTTTGCAAGCACACGCGGCGGACGGACAGGTCTTACCGGGAACTTTCGCACTGCTCGCTCCTGCTGCAGCTTCGGGCTCCGCGCACATTCACGGACACAGTGCACAGTGCCACGGTCCCTCTCACTGACAAACCCGACACACCGCGGCCGGGTCGGACACCCGCAAATTTCAGCAAAGGCCTCCGGATTTCATTTAAAGAATTTTTTAAAAGATCGTCTCTGCCGAGACGGCCGCGGGAGCGCTCGGCCGGGCACCGCCCGCCACCGCGGCCGCTCTCCCGCCCGGCACCGCCGGGCTGCCGGGCCCGCTCCCGGCGCGAAGGCGGGAAGGGCGGCCGGGAGCGGGGAAGGGAGGGAGGCAGCGCTTCCGGCCACGCGCTCGGCAGCGCCGGGAGGGCGGCGGCGGGGCCCGCGCCATCCCGCTCCCGGGGCGGAGGCGACAGGCGGGGAGGGATTGCGGGCGGCGGCGGCCGCTGCCCCGCAGCGAGGCGGAGGCGCGCTTACCTTCACGGGTCCCGGGGCGGCGGCGGCGCTGGCGGCGGCCATGTTGGTGGGAGGGCGGGGCGGCGCCGCGGGTGGCGGGGCGGCGCCGCGGGTGGCGGGGCACGGCCCCGGGGGGAGGGGGTGGGGGGAAAGGCACGCTTCCCGCCGCTGGGGGGCAGCACCCGCCCGTGCTGAGGGCCCGGCCCGCGGGAGCGACGTGTCCCCGCTGCTCCCCACAGAGCTCTCGCCTCGGGAGCGCTTTCGTTGTTCAGTCAGTGAGAATGCTGCCGTGTTTTAATACCTCTTGAATTCGCAACCTGAGCACACGTCCTGCTCTCTTCTTAATCCTTCTGACCTGCGCGTTTACCTGTGACTCTCCGGGAGCCTCCGCTGCTTGGAACCGGAGCGGTGCTGCGGTTGGTGTGATCGCAATGGTTTGTCTACTTAAAGGTGCAGGTATGTTCTCAAAATGCTAAGCATTGGCTCGGTCTCTCTGGAAACTTAACTTTCAGACGGTTCATATCCCGGTCAGACCTCCCTCCCGTGTTTCTGGAGACACAGCAGTTTACTTGACTCCCCGCCCCAAATTCATTAATTTGTCAACAGAAGTGGAATTGAGGGTGATCTTTTCAATACCCCAAAATGACTCTGAGAACAAACCGAAGCATGTCTGGGGGGGAAGGGGAAATCCTTTCTGAAGTACACATATATAAAAAGTATATATGTTTAGCTCTCCAAGCTAAATAGAACTTCAAGTGATAGAATAAGGTAAAAACTATTTTATTATAATTACAATTTTCCTACCTGTGGTATTTTTCTTAATTTAAGTGGAACATTTGTTTTGTCACAACACGATCCTGCATTTTGAGAAACATCAATGTGTTTATATATTTTGCTTCTATCGGTAGGTATAAAAATCAGATGTAGAGCTTTCAAAAATAGCTGTTACCTTGTTAATTGGAAGTATGAAAAAGTGTTTCACATATTTTCTTTAAAGCTACATTATCTACTGGAGACGCCTCGGGCACCCAGACATGCCATTCTCACATGCCCTCAGTGCTACCTGCCTGTTAAAGAAATGTCACATATCTGCTGGTACATGAAGACTCAGACTCATCACTGAACATACGTCCTAGATTTTAGCTGCTAAGATCTTGAGGCAGTTCTTTGTATACCAAGAGGAAAAGAATATTCCTGATAATCTGAGGCAGTAGCAGCTAATGCTGAACTTGTGCTTCAGCTGGAATGTGCTATCTGTGCAGCTTTAAACACTTTATCCTCTTGTCTTCAGTGTGTGTTAGAGATCTTCATGCACTGCTGAGATATTTGTCACCAGGGCTGAAGCCTTCTTACTGCAGTTCAAAGTGTAGACTGTACTGATGAGAAATATAGTTTTGGAAAATTGTAGTTTAATAAAGGGAGAAAGAAGGATGTGGGTAAAGTTACATCTTAACTTCTTCAGTGTGAAATTACAGTTTGTCAGGTGAAGTTACAGATAAGTTCTTCTGCAGTGTGTAGCCATAATACCATGCTAAGTCTGAAACTTACCGCATTTTTCTCATTGCACTGAAGTTATACGTTCTACACTTAGTGTACAGAATCTCTTAGTGAATAATTCTTGGCAATTCCTTCTGTTTAATTCTACTACAATGTTCATCCATTGCTTACAAGAAGCTGTGTCAGTTGTGTTGCAGTACTCCTCTTTTACCACAACTATGTGCAATCTATTTGCTTTTTGAATATGAGAGCTCACTTTGCTTAAATAGTGTGGAAGTATTCACTATTTAAACTCTCAGAGACAATTGCTCTTAGTTCTGTTTAAAACATGCTGGCTGTTCCTACACAGGCCGTTCGTGGGAGCTTGATACTGTAGCTGACCAGAGTGGAATCAGCTTTCCAACTTCACGCCTGTGGATTCTCTGTTCCTGTGTGTGTTCTGTAGGAGTATTTCTCTGCATAAAGCTTTCCATATATCCACATTACATGTGAGCAGCAAGCAGAAAAGCCTACTCATGTTGAATTGTTAATGACAGAAATAGTTCAAGAAATGTTGAGATGGAAGCTCAAAAGGAGCTTCATTAGATGGAGTTTCTGAAGATGGCTGATCTGAGCCACTGTTTTGGTGCAGTCCAGACAATGGATGAATAGCCTAGGCTCAGAATCAGAAAAGGAGCTGAAAAACTGCAGTCTTGCAGACAAACTAAATACCTTTTCACATTTAATGCCATGTGAGTTTCAATTTAGCAGTTTGCTGGAAGAGAAACCTGTATCAATATGAAATTTTGCACTTCTTCAAGTGAGCTGTTTATCAACAGTTAATGAGTTCCCATTACTTATATCATTTTATAACCTGGATTAAGGAATACATGTATTTAAGCCTTCTGAATGATTTAACTAATCAATAACAGGTAAGAAACGGTGCTCTATGAAATTAACATTTTTAAATTTTTTCATTTCTGTAGACCATATGTTTTTTTATTTCTCAGTTTTGAATATCTTAAAATTAAAATCCCATGATAGGATTGAGAGGTGGAATCCAGTACAGTGACTGTTCATCAGTAAGATATAATCTAGAATTTTTTAACACAGCATTTATCATTGTGAGAAGTCAGTTTTCTGCAGCAGCCATTTGGATTTGGAAGCAGGTAATCAAACACCACCCCAACAATACCACGATGCTCAGAAAAACATGATGAACGTACTTTCTTAAAAAGACACAGGTTAGAGAGTTCCTGTAGAAATTGCAGTTTCAGTTCACAATTCCACTTATGACATTATAGAAAACCTTGAAATAAAGTGATAGCTTTGTATTTTCCTAGAAGTTGAACTTTGTACTTCATGTTCTAAGTGATGGAATGTAAATCCAGTTATCTAAATAAAAAACGTTTTGCCTTTTCAAAAATAAAATAAATGCACAATTACTTGAAATCTGTTTGCTTTGATTTCTCACTATTTCAGTTGTCTGTGTCTCATGGACAGTGTTTTCTTATCTTAAGTTAAAATAATGTGTAAAAACTAAGTTTCATTTACACATTACACCATTCATAAAATACAAAAGAACCCTTAGATGAAAATAAGTAGTTTATATATCAGATGAAGGCCTTTCGAACTTAAATGTAAAGTAATTTTTTATGTCATTTTTTGTGAAAATTTTGGTGAAAATCCACATGTAGTCAGTGCCTGAAAACCCTGTCCTTAGAAGTCTGGGAAGACCTGACAGTTTAAGTTTCCTGCAACTATGTTAATAGTTTTGGTCATATGCCTCACAGAGCTTAGAAATCTTGGTCAAATAAACTGAAACATTCTTATTAGTGTAAGAAACACTTTAATACACAAATAATATAATATTTAGTTCAATATAGAAAACAGTCTATTTACAAGAAGATAATTCTTTACAGTGGAAACCAAAGTTGAGAGAAGATCTAGTGTGAGCAGACAATTAGGACTTAGTGACCCTTGAGTTTTAATACCTCTTCTGACATCAAATACTTTTACACATTTAAGTAATTTAAACTCTGTCCCTCCTGTAAAGTCATAATCATGGTGATAATCAACCTTAACTGCATTAAAGGGGTGTTTAGATTAGCTAGAATGTATTTGTGAAAATGCTTTGAAGATGAAAAGAACTGTTTCAAGGTAAAAGGTCCTACTTTTTTTTTTTTTATTACAACAAAAGTTGCTGCAAAGAAATACCAGTGCTGTGTACACTGTAGCTGAGCTTTGAATTGCTTTTGCCAATGTTACTTCAAAGAAACAATATTTACATGAAAGAAGGGAAAATAAAGCCTCAGTCAAGTCCAGTTTATCTTCTACATTCATTCGTGCCAATCTCAGTGTCATGAGTTCCCATTATGGTGTACTGCTTGTAAACTTTCCTGTTTCTGCCCTACAAATTCACAGAATTTCTTTCAGTAGTGATGAAGTACTACAAACATCTTAAAAGAAGAGCATCTTCCTTGTCCTTCTGCATCAGCCAAGACTTGACCCATATTTGCTTCCAAAAGGAAGCCCATATTAACCATATGCTTACTGTGAAACTAGCTTTCTCTTGAATATTCAATGTTAATTTCATCTTTTCTCCTGCATACTGGAAACAATTTGTTGGGCCCTGTCCCCAGAGTAATGATTTAAGATTTCAGTTGACTCCAAAGAAAAATTAGCGTGTGTTTTGTGTTAGGACAAATAATTTTTAAACGTAAATAAGCTTCAAGGCTAGTGTGTGTAAGCACCCAAGGGTCACATTCAGGAATAATTAAAAAACTAACTTTCCAATTTTTTATTGTGATCCACTACCTAGATTTTATTGTTTCTACAGATCTCTCATGGAGCAGAGAGGTCTGTGAAGCCTCAAAAGCATGTCAGCAAAAGGCTAATGGAAGTTCAAAAAACCTTTATAACAGCTGAAGTGAAGTTGTCTGACTTTACATTGACTCTTCTGTGGGACTGTAACATTTTACATTGGTCCATTCCTTTGCAAAATGAACAAGTTTTTTCCCCTAATTTGAAGCAAGTGGAAGTATCCTGAAGGGACCATTTTAGAAAAACGAGCACCAGAAAATTCCTTCCCTAGCATGGCTTTTTTTTCCCTCAGGGAGGAACCATCAAGAAAATGACCTCATCAGCTTCAAAACTGTTACCTTGAGCACTTAATAACCTTAATGCAGTGAAGATTGCACAGTCCACAGACAGAGCAACTCCACCAATTTCAAGTGAAAGAAGGTGAATTTTTCAGCTTACAGATAATTTACTGATATAATAATTTGAAAAGCTGCCATGCAAAGAAGCATGCACTATGAGATCGGGCATATAAAATCTGCAAGATAAGGCAGTGAGGTCAAGGAACTTGACATTTGACATTACTGACATTAGTTCATGAAATAAAATCCATACTTCAGTTACACAGGCGTACTTTTCTTCCTGATTGTAACGTACAGACTCAAAGTCCCCATTATCTTTAGTGATGCCACAGAGAAAAGGGAACAGCAGATCATGTAGGAATGGTTACAGAATATGAGCATTATTTTAATTAATAGCTGCGTTGGTCTGCTAGCGTTAAGACATGT